GGTACTCGCTCGCAAAGCTGTCGATGGCTTCCTTTTCCGACAGCTGTTCAGAATCAAAACTACCGGTGGTTTTTATGTACAGTACCACCTTAGCATCGAAACGAATGAACAGGCTATGCAGTGATTGGCTGTCTCGTCGGTAAGCCGAATCCCCCACCCTCAACGGAAGCACAGTACTAATGCAACTGTAATATACATTATAGGCATTAAAAAAGTAGCTTTAAGTAAACCATAAATACTAATAACTTTTCTACGCTAATTTCCAGTCTTCTAACACAAAAATTACTGTAGTAATCCATCCCCTCCTCCTTCTAAATCTGACATTCCAGCCTTAAAAATATCATTCTTTTGGTGCCTTTTTCAAATCAACAGCTTTTTCTAAGCTGCCTGCCTGGCGCCATTTCCTTATTTTCCTAAAACAATTACATCCCTTCACAAATTTCCCACTAACTTTCACTATACCTTCAGCGTCTGGTGATACGAAAGACGGCCATCGGAGTGAAGACAGACGTATTTCTTCTTCCATTCCTTGTTCAGTGTTTTGCTGCTTCGTTTGTACAAATGACCCTGCTTCACCGGGATTGTTCGCCCCATACCCATGTTGACGTCGATTGTTGAGCGATGCGACTTGTCCTCGTGGCCATGATCCTTTGGTCTCTGCTAAATGAGTACCACTTGAAAGAACATCAGAAAATAATTATTTAATATGAATTGCCCAACGAAACGGCGAGTTTCTGTGGATTTGGTACGGTGGCAAAACCAACATTATTTGGGCTGTCTTTGTACTGGGATGCACTATTGTACTGGTAGTAACCGTTTTTGTCTTGGGCAGCATATCTCCAAATTTATGGGGGATAAAGGAACAGAAAAATCCACACACTCACACACCCATACACGCTTACACATCTACACCCACGCACACCTACGCATCCACACCCACACTTACATACTCACACCCACACCCGCACACACACCCGCACCCGCACACACACACTCGCACACGCACCCACACCCGCACACACACCCACACCCGCGCACACACCCACACCCGCACACACACCCACGCCCGCATACACACCCACACCCGCACACACACCCACATACACCCACACTCACGCACACACACACCGCGCACTCACACACCCACACATCCACATAAATCAGCACTTAGCTAAAACTGGAAAATTATAAAATTCATAGCAAACGGAAATAAATAGCGAATGGAACCTACAAACAAATTGGAGATCCGTCGATTTTTGCGCTGCGCCGTAGGCGTCGATGACGGCGTCAGCAGATGACCCGTTGAAGTTGTTGGCCCTGAAGGAGGTTGCAGTGGAATGTGATTGTCAAATACTTCATCTTTCAGGAAATGTGCTTGGTCCGCTTGTGCTGGATTAGTACTGCATGCTCGTGGAGCACAAAGAAAAGTTCCTGCACCTGAACGCATAACATGTGAGGACAATACACACAGAAAGTGTTCCAGAGAAGTGAGTTTTTGACGGTGGTTCGATAAATTTATTCATAAAACAGGACACATATAATGTATGCCGTGAATAAAAAAAGACAAAAGCACAGTGCAGGATTAATGCATTAATTTACAATGTTTCTGAAAAAGCGACCAAAGTGCAAAAATGTTAACAAAATCGTCAAAATTCATGATAAAGTGAGCTAGGACAATGTCTCTAGATTATACGGTTTCTTAGCAAACTCGAAGAAAAAAAATTTATAACTTTTAGGCAACCATTTCAAAGCCTTAGGATTTTACAAAATGTATGGAACGAGTAATCATTAAAAAACATTAAATTTAAACATACATATATTAAAAAACCAACATTTTTGGGCACTAGAAAAAGCACTCTATATTCTCATCTAAAATCTGTTATCTTTAACACTTTAATACATTTACAGTCCGTGGTTAGAGGTTTTTCGTTCTCAGTTTTTCCAAGGAAAAATGAAGTTTTTGAAAATGTGCACTTTTCACTGGAACCATTTTCTTTAAAGAATACACTAGTCAAAGCTACACACCTTCAGTTAATATTCACTGCCTGGTCAGTGCATGTTAACTACTGTTCGGAAACTGCCCAATTGCTCTGATTCATAAACAGTACCATGTGTGCATTTAAAAAATCCATGCAAAATAAACAAAACATGTGTTAAAATCCATGCGAACTTATAAAAAAAATGACTGGCCAACGCCCGGCTGCAGGTGTGAAGATGCATTTTTTGCATAATTCCTCGCAGGTTTTTGTTGCTAACGGCACCGGTTTTTTTGAGCAGATGCTTTTCGTTAAGCGAACTGGAACTGGCCATCAAGACTGCAAGGAAACCC